TACAGGATGCAGTTTTGGAGGCAAAGCCAGTCACATATCACCAATGCAAAATGTGCAAGGCGCCCAAGTCGCATAATCTTACACATTACTTACTTTGTTGCTCAAAAACTGCATCCTATCGATCAAATAGCACTGTCCAGAGACCAGCACTTATTGATTATATTAATTTTATCATAGACACTGGTCTTGTCTTCGATATGATTAGGGATATAAAAGGTTTTTTACCAACTAGATGATATGTGAATAATGTATGCATAATGACACAGCCCTTCAGGCATGTAGAACTAATGTTTGACTAATAGCCCTTTACATAAATATAAGCATAGCCAGTTGGATAGATGCGGTAGCATCTTACCCTGGCTTTTTACAGGGCATGTACGCTGTTCTGTAAATAAATATTATCAAATCAAATCAAATCAAATCTCTCTCTCTCTCTCACCATCTCTCTCTATCTATCTATCTATCTATCTATCTGTCTCTCACCATCTCTCTCTATCTATCTCTCACCATCTCTCTCTCTCTCTCTCACCATCTCTCTCTCTCTCTCACCATCTCTCTCTCTCTCTCTCTCACCTCTCTCTCTCTCTCTCTCTCTCTCTCTCTCTCTCTCTCTCTCTCTCTCTCTCTCTCTCTCTCTCTCTCTCTCTCTCTCTCTCTCTCTCTCTCTCTCTCTCTCTCTCTCTCTCTCTTCTCTCTCTCTCTCTCTCTCTCTCTCTCTCTCTCTCTTCTCTCTCTCTCACCATCTTCTCTCTCACCATCTCTCTCTCTCTCTCTCTCTCCACCATCTCTCTCTCTCTCTCTCTCTCTCTCTCTCTCTCTCTCTCTCTCTCTCTCTCTCTCTCTCTCTCTCTCTCTCTCTCTCTCTCTCTCTCTCTCTCTCTCTCTCTCTCTCTCTCTCTCTCATTCTTGTGTCATCTTTTACCTGAGCATGCACTTTTATTATTATTTTTTTTTTATTCCAACAGTGTGTAATCTTTGGTTAGTTTATGCCTCCACACACTCAAGCATGTGCATTTTTGTGTGTTTGTACACCAAGTATGTAAGGGAAACATTGCTGTAATACAAACACAACACTTATGTCAATAACATAATATCATCATGCCTTCTATTACCATGTGACATATTACTTATGACACTTGCATTTTGAAACTTTGGTAGTGCCCAATAGCTGTTGCACACAGTTTGAGGTACGCAGACTATCACAGCCAGCTTGAAGACCCCCATTCCTCACCTTACCTTGCCCAAGTGTCTCACCTTCTGTGGGAGGTGACTGTACAAAATTGTTTGTACAAGTGTATTTAATGTGTTTGATGTATGTGTGTTGTTGCACTATGGTTCATATCTTTGTTCCATAATAATTTTGCAGATTTTGTATTTTATAAAGAAATTGACATAACTTTGGTAAATGCCATTTTTGCACTTTAGTAAATAATTATTGTGTTACATTACATAGACTGAGTATTATTATTTATTTCAGAAGGTTGCTAAAAGATGGAGGGGAATGAGACAAAGGTACATTTTTTCCCCATTATTAATGGGCTGCAGAAGATGGCACTATATGAAACAAAAGCGGTAAGATTTTGGATTAAGTGATGGATCAACTTCATACCTTTAGTAATTCAATTCTTCTAGTCTTTAGTTTTAAAGAAATGATTATTTTTTGCTAAAAATGATTTGTTGTGTAAAATAGTTGTCTTAATTAAGTCAGTTTTTTAAATTATCTGTTAGTGTTGTTCATTGAGAAAAAAAGTTATTCACAAATTTAATTGAAGTTTAACTTTTAAATATTCTGTTATTTATATAACTTCATATTATCTTAATAGTCTTATCTTTTTACAGAGGTTATACCTGATTGGCTCAAACATTACACAGACAAAGTTCCGTGTTCTGAAGATTGATCGCACAGAGTCTAACTCACTGAACATAACAGATGACAAGGTAACAATCTAAAGTGATTGCGTAGAAATGCGACTGATTGATAAAGAAATATAGAGTAGAGTATAGATATGGAAACACATGCACATGCCAGGTTACTGTCAGAAGGTTTTCGTCTTAATCTTGGTCAACCCCATATTGATGAAGCATGAAAAAATCCTCTGATAAAGAAATTCTGTTGAAATCATTTGAGAAAAAAAAGAGACAGATTTCTGGTGTAACCATAAAAGAAAATCACAATTTATGAATCGAAGCACAAAATCTTATCAGCTGTATTGTTGATTTTCTTCTTATAACTGATATTACCATATTGTTGCAGTTGCTATTTTCATGATCTTTTTGGTAATCTCCCCTTTGCCATTTTAGGTTGAGTACAGTCACCGTCAGATAAAAGAACTTCTGTCGATGATCAACGAGGGGAACCGAGCACAGTCAGGCCAAAGGCTAGTGAATGGTCTGGCCAAAACTGTTTCAGCTTTTGGTATTGTGGGCTTTGTTAGGTTCCTTGAAGGTTATTATATCATACTGGTAACAAAAAGACGGAAAGTTGCAGTTATTGGCTTGCATACCATTTACAAGGTAAGTGCTAGGTCAGGAAATTGGGTTGTATTAAAGATAAACTTCAAAGTATATATCCTCATGCCTAGAAAAGATTTTAATCATCATTTTCTTACTATTAATGGTTTACTACTAATTGAAGGTACTAAAAGGTTGCTTTTATCACCTTCCTACTTGCCTCTCCCTTTTAACATTATATGAAGATTCTATTGAATGTCTGCAGTAATTTTCTTGTGCTTTCCCAGGTTGTTGATACAGCCATGATCTACATTCCCAATGAGTCTACAAAGAAGAACCGTGATGATGAGCCAAAATATGTACGACTCTTCCAAAACATTGATCTGTCATCCAATTTTTACTTTAGGTATATGTTCCTTTGACATATTTCTCTCATTATTTTCCCTCTACTCTGACAATTGAAGAGGAGGACTTAGATACTGCTCATTATTTTCCCTCTACTCTGACAATTGAAGAGGAGGACCTTAGATACTGCTCTGTATGTATCTTTTTCACATAATAAGAATATGTCATTTTTCTTATAAACTTTTTTAGAGAATCATTAACACTTAACATTGTTCTAAATTCAATATATTTGTAATGAAATGTGAATGGTTCTTTGATAATTGAACCCATTGGATCTAATTGCTTTACAGAAATTACATGGCCTAAAATACAAGCATTAGGCTTATGTGGGTGGCTGCTCTGACAGGTGCACACAAACATTTGTGTGAAGTGATAAGACTCTATGCCTCCCCTTTGCAATGTTATTTTCACTTTTTATGCAGAAGCATAAGAAGTCTCCATATCATTTCTCTAGGTAGTCCATAACTTATTGCAAGAATGATAACAATAAGTAACATGTTTTCGTGGCTTTTTTTTTTTTTTTTTTTTTTTTTTTTTTTTTTTTTTTTTTTTTTTTTTTTTTTAATATTCAATATTCAATATACTGAAGTACTAGGAATAAGATGCTGAGCATAGAAATGGCTTCCTCCCTGGAGCAGATGCTCTTCCAGTCATGGCTCACAGACACTACATTCCACACTTGTTTATTGATGGAAAAAATGAAAAAGCCCCCTCCCAAATGCCAAATGAGTCTTATCACCCTCTAAGAGGCTTGTGCACTTGTGGTGAGTCTTTCCCATCACCCCAGCCTCCAGCCAAAATGCTCACGACAGCAAGTTCTTGTCACCGTAGCCCACAGCCAGATTCCCATGACAGCATGTTCACGTCACTTGCCCCTCAAGCCAAATTTTTTCTTGACATGATGGTCATGTAAACTGACCATAGGGGTTAATTTATGCACTTTTTTTCATATTATACTATTTCTATTCATAATTCATTTAACAATGCTTCCTTCCTCCTGATTATCCCGCATGTGTTCCCACCCTTCCTCAAGCCCTATTTCCATTCGTCTCTGTCCTCATCACCCTTTTACCCATCCCTCTCCTCTTTCCACTCTCTTTTTACCCTTCCACTTTTCCCTTCTCCATATTCACCTCTCAGTCCATCTCTTCTACTATAGCTAATACTAAGTACTAATATTAAAGCTAATAAACATTTTATGAGTGAGTTTTACATTTTTCCAGAAAGTAGTTTTGTTTGTTAGCAGAAGTTGCATAATTCCTTTTGATCCATCTAGTTACAGTTATGACCTGACACACAGTCTCCAATACAACATGGCCCCCCCAAAGGATATTCCTGTGGAACTTCTCACCAACTTCAAAGTCCCAACACCATGCGGTAAGCAAGGTTACAGTAGGTACATGTGTATATATGACCCTTTTTTTTTTTTTGTGTGTGTGTGTGTGTGTGTGTGTGTGTGTGTGTGTGTGTGTGTGTGTGTGTGTGTGTGTGTGTGTGTGTGTGTGTGTGTGTGTGTGTGTGTGTGTGTGTGTGTGTAAGCATCCACGTATGTGTGTTTTTGTGTCCATACTGGCACATGTGGGTGTTCATGCTATGAATATATTCTATATTCATATACCTATTCTATGTATTATGCATACACAGGTGCACACACAAGTGCCCAGACACACATTTGCACACATGCACACACACACACACGCACGCACGCACGCACGCACACACACACACACACACACACACACACACACAACACACACACACACACACACACACACACACACACACACACACACACACACACACACACACACACACACACACACACACACACACACACACACACACACACACACACACACACACACACACACACACACACACACACACATATGCAGAATACTTATCATAATTTGCTAGTTTACAAACCTCAGTATAACTTCACAGACAGAATACTAATCTTAATTTGTTAGTTTACAAACCAAATGTTCACTGCAGTTGGAGAGGTTGAGAAGGCGGAGGATTTCCTTAATATGTCCTTGAACCCAAAGGACCAAAAAGAAGAGGACACTAAAGAACCAGAGTAAGTGGATGTTTTACCATCCTTACTACTATGTAGAGACACTGTAGAAACCTGCTACACATTTTTGTTTGTACATTTGTAATTGTTTATATATATATATATATATTTTGTTTTTTTTTCTGTGACTTATACTGTGTCTCTGTATTTGTGTAAATATATATATTTGTTTCTTTCTTTCTCTCCTTTTCTTGTCTTCATTTTGTTATAGAAAAGTTGTGGCAATGAAAGATGGGACAAAGATGTGGTATTTCACTTTGGTATATAAATCTGAAAGGTTTGCTCTGCTGTGCAATAGAGCAAGTAGGGTTGAAATTTGAGTAGTATAAAGAAGGATATATGGGATAATCAGAAGTAATAGAGGGTACAAATAAGTAAGATTCAGAATACCAAATATAATTGATTTTTTTAAAGTTTGCTTATTGATGCTTGCTATGGATGAACATTAGGTTCTGATTTAAAATATAATGTTTTGTTTTTCAGAGAAAAGACATGTGCTGACAATAACCAGACAACAAATCCACATAGAAAAGACAGTGAAGCTAACTCGTCACCAAAAGACGAAAAAGAGAAAAAGAAAAGGTTTATGATATATGGTATAAGAAACACACCAAACAAGAAGTACGTTTGGAACTCCTACCTCCTGAAGCCAGTGGAAAAGTGCCTTCACCCTGCTTGGATCCTGCCTATCACCCATGGCTTCGTTGCTCAGGTGAGTATCATCCATCAGTCATGTTTAATTTGTTTCTAATATTTGCCATCATACATGTTTACTTGTTCTATTACAATTTACAAGAAATTTGTAATATTACTGCATCCTTACATTGTGATTCAGTTGAAATTATACCCCTCTACATATATATAGTAAAAATATATATGAATGCCAGTTGTAATTTTTTTCCCATTAATATTACAAATATAACAAAAAGAAGTAGTATAGCTGATGTAGCTGTATGTGGGTAAGTAAAACCAGTAGATAAATAATGTGTTTTGTAAGTTAGTGGCTATGCTTATCCTTTTCAGAGTAACATCTCCGTGTATGGACGCTCATTCTTCCTCACCCTCATAGCTCGCAGGTCATGCCGTTATGCAGGGACAAGATTCCTCAAACGTGGGGCCAACTTTGAGGTATAACTCTGTGTATAATATGTTTCTTCATCTTATAAATCTCAAATTTTTTCTTTCTCCAATTTTTTTGTTACTCATTAAGTTATCGTGTGGTGTGGTCTAAATTTCCAAAATGAATTTTGCTCATACAAGACCATCTTAAGAATATGTAATATATCGATGTCATGCAGAGTATATGCATTACATTTGATCATATTATTGCTTTAAGCTAATGTACATTATGTAAATATATCAGGGTGACGTGGCTAATGAGGTAGAGACAGAGCAGCTGGTCTGGGATGCTCATGTTACATCCCTGCAAGTGGGCAGGTTCACATCCTTTGTTCAGGTGAGAGGACATCATCATGCAGGAGGGGAGAAATTATAAAGCTTGTTATTTTTTTTACCTACTATTTTTATTGGTATTTCTTTTTTACATACAAGGATATCCAATTTCCTTATTAAGAATCTGATATTGGTATATGTGTCTGTAATATTGCATAACCATAAAACATTGACATGACCCACATTACATGCCAGATTCGAGGCTCCATTCCATCGCATTGGTCGCAGGATGTCAGTAAGATGGTCCCAAAACCACCGATCACCTTTGACGTAATGGATCCATATGCTGAAACTGCAGGTATGTTTGATCAGAATCAGAATTTTCATAAAATTGCAATGATGTTATATGAGAAATGGATGTGGTAAATTTTATAATGTTTCATATTTTTACTTAACTGTTAATAGGGAAACACTTCAATGAATTGCTGCGACGTTTTGGCTCTCCAATTGTCATTCTGAATCTGGTAAAGAGACGTGAGCGGCGGCCTCATGAGTCGATTCTCAACACAGAATACTGTAGACTGATTGACCAGCTCAACATCACCCTTCCTCCTCAGTTCAGACTACAGTATGTTGCAGTAGATATGGCAAGGATCAATAAACAGTAAGTATTCCTATGTCTGAAATGTATTTTTCATGGCACAACAATAATCTTTCATATATACCACTCATGCTCACACACAAATATACACTTCACATATAAATTTACATTTGTATACAGGGATTAATTTAAATTTGAGTGTATTATATCTTTGAGAGAGAAAGTATTTTTCCCCACAAACTCATAAAGTAACTCTGCCCACAGGAAAGATGAGAATGTGATGAGCCGCTTATCAGACATTGCCTACCGTGCAGTTAAGAAGACAGGGATCTTCCAGAGCTCAGCCCCATACTACAGCCACCACCTAAATCCAAATGCTCATTATCGTCACATGGAGAGGACAAGCACGCAGGGTGATCATAACTTTGGGTCCAGAAAGTAAGAAGCATTAGTCTTATGAGTTGTTTTTTTGGTGATGGTGTCATTTCCTCCCTCATTAGGGATCAGATGTGATGTATTTATTTCATCATTTTATCTAAGGTTTTATATTATCTAACACCCAGATCTATATGACCTCACATCAGTATGGCCTCAAAATGGTGTATTTCTTGATCTAGTCCTTTGATGTCTAGCACATTTATTTTCTTGTGTCATTGTTACTTACTTGATCTAGTCTGCATTGCCTTGACTCAAATGCTTGGTGTGCAATATTTCATCAGTACTTGTACCAGTTTCCCAGAAGACTTATAAAAAATGGACTTATGAGTTGATGATGTCCCCATTCCACCACCATCTCCAGCAGTAGAGAAAAGATTACGAAATTTTGTACCAACATTTGGAAGTACATTAATGAGTATGAAATGACTGCATTTAAAGAACACTTCTCTTTTCATAAATTACTGTAATATTCATAAACATGATGATATGATTTCTGATGGATATATTCTTTTGCATTTACTTATGTTTTAAATTTGTGCCTGATAAAGAAAATGATGTCTCAGTTTGCAAATATCAATTTTTCAGTGTTTCAATGTATTTATGAATAGATGTAATGGTCATAGTAAAATCTTACTTTGATCTATTTATACCTTTCATAGGAACTTTACTCCAAATGAACCCTTTGTTCGAAAACAAACTGGAGTTGTAAGAGTGAACTGTGTAGACTGCCTTGATCGCACCAACACAGCACAGTTTTGTCTTGGAAAGTGTGCCTTGGGCTTCCAGGTAATTTACTGTATATGCTGCATGTTTAATGTAAATATATGTATATACATGTACAGTGTATATGTATATGAGTATAGTCAGGTAATACTATAATTCTTGGCAGAATTTTTTTTTTTTTTTTTTTTTTACTTTTATTCCAACATTTATTATAATTCTCTTGTTTCATTACTCTTCTTATTTTGATTTATTATTACTACATTATTATTTCTTAAGTTTTGTTTTTCTTTACTTGATTATGATATTCTTGTTTTTTCTTCATCTAATCACTTACTAAATGAGATGTGCAGAAGTTTTACAGTACTTCACAATGATAATAAGAAGTCAGAACATCTTAAAACTGGCTTCTCTGTTATAAATTCAGTATTTGATATTGATGATATTACTGATAGCTGTTATTACAGTAGTGAATTTTTTATTTTACAGAACTAATATTACTAGAGCTGGAGGTTAACTGTAACCTATTAGATGCTACTGATCACTAGGACACATTACTTATTACTGGAAGAACTGTTTAGAAATATGGCTTGTATTGTATTATAGGGAGAAGACTAATACAAGTAAAGACTAACTAAAGACATTTTTTGGTAGTCATTTATCAGTCTTTTATCCTTCCTTCACTCCTTTTTTTCCTTTTTTAGTTTTTGTTAAATCACTTTACCTGCTATATTACCTCCATTTTCAGTTGTGATTTGCTTTTCAATTAATAATCATGATAATAAAGATGATAGAAGAAATCTAAATGTACAACTTTCAGCTGTATGCACTTGGTGTCTTGGATCGGCCTGCTCTGGAATTTGATAGTGACTGTGTGCGAATGTTAGAGGAAATGTATGAAGATCATGGAGACACATTGGCTCTTCAGTATGGAGGGTCACAGCTGGTACACAGAATCAAGACCTATCGCCGCACAGCTCCCTGGACCAGTCAGGGCAACGACATCATGCAGACACTCTCCAGATACTATAGCAACACATTCTCAGGTAAGATTTATTCTCTTTTGGATATTTATATGGGCTGTCTGCTTTTCATGAAGTTTAAAACTGCAATTAAGCAAAATGCAATAAGTTTAACTCATGGGACCATCAGACATAAGTAAATTGGTTTAAAAGACTGAGACATTTTTCGATTCCTGTTAACTTACAGATACAGAAAAGCAAAATGCAATAAACTTATTCCTGGGTGTTTATATCCCAAGTGAAGCTTCTGTTCCAATTTGGGAACTACCATCAGACTATCTCCTGCATCATTCTCTCTCCCGCGGTGTTCGTCCCTGCCACAAGTGAGCCACATCATAGCAATTATCCCCATCACACATCCAAAGCTCATTTTGGATCTATCAATGTCTTTCACTTTTATCACTGAGAAGTTCTAATAGAAATAGCCCATGTTTCATAATTGGGATTTATAGACCTTGGTTCTGTGAGTTACTATTTTTTAGCTTTGTTCTTCAGCTTCTCATAATAAACAAGAATAAAACTGTTATCATAATCCAATATTCAGGTTACAGCTTGATTTTATATTATCCTTAAATGTTGGTGTATAGGTTAACAGTATAAGTAGCAGTTTGGCCTCAAGGAGATAGTCAGTTGTGTGTCTGTTTGTATGCAGGGGTAGGTGTGTAGGTTGTAGTTATCTCTATGTGAAGGTGTATCAAGTAAGGAGTAAGATGGTAGTATGACCTGACCATTCATGAAAGGTCAGGTCATAACACCTTACTCTGTCTTTTCAGTACTTCATACGAGCATACATAATGCAACATATAACATAAAGGGAGTGCAGTATATACAGTATATAATGTAGTAAACCTGCTATAGTAGGTCTGGATGTGCAGGTGCATACACAATTTACTTTTCAAGCATCCCCTCTGTTGTAAGTAAATGTTAATAAAAGCTGACCATTTACACTTAACTATATTGCATATGAAGTTAGCATGGAGTATAATAGTATAATTATAATAGTATAAAGGAAGAATACAAGATAATTGTATAAAGTATAAAGGAGAGAAATATTAAATGTTTTATATGGACACCCAAACTTGTATGATAATGATGTACACATTTAAAGGATGTATATGCTGGAAATATAATATAGAGAGCACAGACACAGTAGGTCAATGTTTACCTCCCTTTCTCTTCCCTTCTCTCAGCCGCAGCACAACACAGTGGTGGGATTCAGCAATGTTGTCAGATCTCCCAATGCCTCTTGAGGAAACCAGGAAGTCTGTCTCTCTCCTTATGCCAGTGCGAAGCCAGGAGCCCAAGGTATGGCATCAAGGCATCAGAGATTTATGAGATGTTTGATTATTGATTCATTATAAATGATTTACTATTATTAAACTTTCATGAATGTTGTTATAGTACTGTATTAATTTCATGCTTTACCTCTCAGATTGACTTGTACACAGACCACCATCGACCCTCAGAGTTCTGTGTCCTGTCTGAGCTGTTCAGCTACCAGATGAGCCATTCTGTCAGGTTTGTTGTTATTTCTTGTTATGGGCTAACCCACCTTTGTTGTTGGCTTTTGCTTGACAAGGCAAGACATCTTCATAGTCTGAGTCATATCTCATTCTCAGTTTTATAATTCTGCAATTCTCTTGCTTAACATTTCAGAGATTACATGCCAAACTTCACAACTGATGAGAGCCCCTTTAGTGTCCGGAGACGTCCAGGTAAGAGGCAAGAGGAGTTATCTCGTAATCAGAGTAGTGGGTCACCATCACAGAAGAATCCCACTATGACTGGTCAGGCTTCAACATCCTCAACAGCATCAAGTGGAACTAGGTAGGAATGAGAACAGAACACAAGTATATCTGTTTGCATGTCTTAAGTGTAAGAAGTTACCAAAGTAGTTATGGTTCTTTAAGATTTGTGAAGGTAAAAAGGATTGTTTACAACAAAATTATTTCCTTTTTTTATGATTACTTTTATATTTCAGGTTTTTACAAATGGCACTGTTATTACATTTTATTTATTTGAATCTGTTTTTTATATACAAAGTGTTTATAGACAGGGATAGTTAAACAATCAGTAATAGGGGACAATTGTTGAATAAGTTATGAATTGAAATTTATGATTTAACCCAATATCTATGGGTAAAAAGTATGGCAAGTGGACATGATCGCAGCACTGTTGGCACACAGAGACAGTTTCCCATTTGTGCCTGGTTCGTTATGTAGTTTGCAAGCAATATTCAGCTCCTAAAAGCTTTCATTTTTATATAATTTTTATTAATTTAAAATTTTGAAGGATACTAGGCAGAGCTACCGTTCAAAGTCACTGTGGAGCAACACTGGGTAATATTAAGGTTACAGACCTTGACTTTGCCGATGATGTTGCCATTCTATCTGAGTCTTTGGAAACCCTAGTGGCAGCTCTCGATGCATTTAGTAATGAAGCGAAGCCCTTGGGTCTAGAGGTCTCCTGGACCAAGACCAAGATCCAGGACTTTGGGGACTTGCTAGAAGAACCTGTTCGGTCAGTACGTGCTTGCGGCGAGGACATTGAAGTCACAGAAAGCTTTACATACCTTGGTAGTGCAGTTCATAACTCTGGGCTGTCAGACCAGGAAGTCAGCAGACGGATTGGCCTGGCAGCAGGGGTCATGAACTCTCTTGACAAGAGTATTTGGAGGTGCCGGTACCTGTGCAGAAGGACCAAGCTACAGGTTTTCAGGGCCCTGATAATGCCAGTTTGGTTCTAGGATACTATGTCGCTGGGACACTATGTCGCGGACCTAATGTAGCCACATCGCGCTGTGACACGGCGTCCGTTTCGCAAGCGGATAAAATGTCGCGGGGAAGCCACGTTGCCATTTATGTCAGTACATCGCTGTTCATTATTGACAGATAAGATTTAGGAAGGTGTTGAAAGTGCAGCAAAAATAATTTAGTATATAGAATACATAATAACACTGGTATGATACATGATCATATATCTTTCTTTTTCTTTAGGTATTAATGATATATTTTTTGATGAGCATACCTTTATTGTTCAGTGGGGATCACCATTACTTTGGCTATTTGATCTAGATATTGCAAATCTACAAGCGTATAAGTTTCTAATTTTGTAATTAGGGATTTAATCTTCTTATTTACGAGCTGGTACTTCTTCTGACTCGAGGGATGCTTCCTGCCAGCTGCATGGTGCTCGCGATTCAGAGCCAATTTGTGCTGCTCCTTTTGATATTTTGCAGCGAGCAGCGGCAGCTGAGGGTGGTCCGGTAACATCCTGGCAAACCCATTGTGCCATCCTTCCAATGCATTGTTTGTTCGGGGCAGATCATCCTTCACTCGTTGATACATGTTCCATGTCTGATATGGAAATTTCCCAGGAATTTCCATGTCACCATGAATCAGCTGGCCGACATAGGTTTCCTGGAAATATTTTGCCAAGTCCAGAAGCCCATCATCCTTGGAAATTTCGTCTGCAAGGAGTATCCTCGTGTAGTGGTGGACGTCAGCCAGCGGAACAAATGCCAGAGCCAGGAACCTCCTGACCCGGATGGCGAAGGCAGCATCTTCTCTATACCGCGCTGCGAGGCCAAGATTCTGGATGCGTCTCCAGACAGACTGGCCCAGGTGGAAATAACATCCAGCAACCTCTGCACTCGGAAAATTCCTCTGGAAGGCGTTCATTGCTGCCTTCTCAAAATCTGTCATTATTGTCACTGGATTGCATGATAAGCCAGGGGGTATTAGCTGCAAACACTCGTACAACATTTTATTATATATCTCTTCATTCTTTCCAGGCAACAATGCATAGACGCAAGGATATGTTATACCACCAAAGTATGCATGGAGTGTGTACTGCTGCTTGTATCCGACAGGGGCCACTTTAAACGTTCCATCACCAAACCAATGACGAGACTCGGCAAGAAATTTCAAATCAGAGTCTGCTGCGAAGATCATCATCCCATCATCTTCATAACGAAGAAAGGCCTCTCCGCTTAACGTTGTCCGAAATGGCTGAAGATCAGACACACCTGCCTTTTGCCGCACTCGCCTCAGCGTCCTCTTGATGGCGTCTACCGTTGGTATTAGATGAGCCCAGCCGACTTCAACTCTAGCGTAAAATGTGTTGACAATATGTGAGATGGGCTCTGCTGTTGCGGCAGCACGTTCCTTCATTGCTGCTAGTATCTCCTCCACCTCGGCCTTCCCAGGGACAGCAGGATGTCTGTGGATGGGGTTTTGCCACTTCACTATTTCCCCATTGACGGTGTGAACCCTGGCACCACAGGTTCTGTCTTCGCATCTCCACAGAACTTTGTCCTGGTGGTCCTTTTCCTTCGTAAAGAGATGCTGGCCAACTCTGAGTTTCACAGTCGCCCGGTATGACGATATAATGCGACAGGCCTCGGGGACATTGACAAAAGAAGGTGGGGGAGGGTAATCTTCATTCAATCCCTCGTACGATGAAACATCGAGCTCGGGGTAGGGCGGTAATGGAAGCTCGGTTGAATTCTCCATGCTGAATGATGTCTCCTCCTTGAAAATTCATTATTATAGCAAGATCACAAGACAGAAGGCACACGGCTGAAAGGAACGTTGAAACATAAGGTCATCTGTCCGCAATGTTGAAGCAGTAGCGGAAGTTAGAGTAATAAGGTCAACGGACACCTCGCGCAAGACAGTCACCGCGATATACAAGGTAAGGTCAGCCGACGACCAGGTTATGTGAGGACGACGCCTCGCGCGACACAGTCACCGCGACATAGTGTCCGCCAGACACGGAGTCACCCCCGTCATACAGCTTCGCGACTTTCCTTCCAGGTCATAGTGTCCGCGCGACATAGAAACCGTGCACCGCCAGTTTTGCTCTATGGTAGTGAAACCTGGACATTATCCTGTGCCCTGGAGTCTCGTCTTGATGCCTTTTGTAATAGGTCTTTGCGCTGGATCATGGGGTACTGTTGGCAGGACTATGTGTCCAACCAACGGCTGCACGATGAGACTGGTACAGGACCTGTTACCTGCCCAATCCGGGATCACCAACTCAGGCTATATGGCCACCTGGCTCGCTTTCCACAGGCTGATCCTGCTCATCAGGTTGTCTCTTTAAGAGACAACCCTGGGTAGAGGAGGCCTGTGGGATGACCTAGGAGGTCATGGCTTGGGCAGATCGATCAAACCTGTCGGGAAGAGCTCGAGATGGGCCGATGAGGGATCCCAAAAGGTGGAAGCAAAATGTGGACGCGGCTATGCGCCCCCGTCGGCGTTAGCTCCTGATAATGATGATGATAACCATGGGAGATATCACATGTAGACGAAGGGTTTATGAAACATAAGGAGTCGTTTAATATATTGCTTTAAGATTTAATAAATATTTTTGAAAAAAGGACATTGAAGTGCTAATTGATTAGTATTACCAAGTGAAATTCATGCATTCCTATGCATATCTGCATAGAGTAACTAGTTCTTGTAGGATTTTGTAGGATTTATTTTTTTATGTATATATAACATGCATATTTTTAATCATAAATATTCATTTTTATTCATAAATATCTTTTGCAGCTCAACAGAAAGTGAAGCCAGTGATGAAGATGAGTTGTCTGTGGCAAGTGCTTCAAGTGACGTTGAAGAAGATAACACTCCCAACCTTTCTCTGGTCTCCTTCTTCCCACCTATGACAGAGACTTATGGAGAATACTTGCATGAACCATCACGAGCTGACAATACTATCTACAAAAGGTTTGTTGGATACGCAAAAATATATATATATGTATATGTATACATGTAGTGGCAGTTTGAAAATAAGTAGATGGAGGAGGTAATATAATGTAGATGAGATACTTTCATACTACAAAAGAATAATATATTATACTTGGTGGAAATATGATTTTCTTTGCTAATGAAAATAATACTGATAATGATCTGGCCAGTACTTTTTAAGTAGGAAAGCCATATAGAGGATTTTAAAAACAGGAAATGGTTTGTTAATAATGAATGGTTTAAACAAATGAACGAGACAGACAGACAGACAGACAGCCAGAAAGAGAGAGAAGGATAGGAAAGTGAAAATGCAAGGGCCGCAGAATGTGAGACTTAGCATTTAAGCAAAGACTTTTACAGTTTTATCCTTGTGTAATGGCCAGGTCTTGATTTTTAAACTTATTTTCATTAATTCATTTCCTTGTTTTTTTCCTTTGTTTCTCTTTTTTAATAGGACTGAAAAAGTATAAAAAAACGGCATTTTTTGGCAAAAAACTGAAATCTTTGGGAGATACTGCAGCTCCTGGTCTATGGAGATATGATATGGATAATTTTCTTCCGTAAAATAGTGGCTAGTGTTCATTCATGGTACTTTATTTGATTTTGATTTCTTTAGTGTTATAACTTTTTAAAGTTTAGGATTTTTGCAGATTAAAGAAAAATAATATATTTCTTACATACCTGAGAGAAAGATAGGAAAAAAGTCATACCACACATCTGTTTCACAAAGACTATGTCTTAATATATCTACTGACACAAAAAAAATTGTGAAATGAGATTTGCAAAGAGAAGTTTCTATAATCCATTATCCATCGTGAGGTTTTACTATATTTTAAAGATAACACATATTTACAGCAGTTTGGTGCAAAGTATATATATGTTAATTGAGTTGGCAATTGAGCTGTAACAATGCATTGGTCACCAGTCAGACTCATTCATTCTCGTTTCAACATAACTTTTACAATATGTAAATTTAGCATAATGCTCTAACTATTTTTTAAATGAAAACATGCAGTTTTTAAATTATTGGGATGGGGTAAAACACTTCCCTCAAATTAGGGTGAGCTTTGAAAATATATGGGAGCTTTATCACAGCTAGAATGTATAGGGATGGTAGAGCAGTAGGTATCTGGCATCCCTGCTGAACTGCTACAGGCTGGTGGTGAACCCATGGTTTATGGAGTGTATGCTTTCCTGACTACCATCTAGCAGTCATCACTCTCTGGAAAGGGAAAGGGGATTGCTGGGACTGCAGTAATTACCAGGGCATTTCATTACTCAGCATACAGGTAAGGGGTCCACTCTCTTATGAAACATATTGAAGATCAACAGGGGGCAGGAAACACATATCTCTGTTATGTCCTTTATTGCTGGCTATTGATATATCAAATGTGCAATTACAAAGCATCGCAGAAGAGTACTGGCTTTATATGTACTAGATATCACCATGTGCTCTCCAGCCAGACTGCCCGTCTTGCCCGCATGTTGCCTGGAGTCCTCTGGTGATATTGTTCCTTTGTCGTACTTTTACGTCACATCGTACCACTCTTACATGTTACATTTCAAAGACCACCCACTGAGGCACTAGAGACTAGAAACTTCTTGCAAGGCCACAATAGACTTTTTTCTTATTCCTCAAGTATTCTTGGAGCACCCTCACGAGTTAAGTTCTGGGCCTCTCATAGCCTACATCGACCTCCTCCTTAGATTTAGCAGAATCCCAACAAAGTCTTTTGGTTTAAGAACAAGCCTTCATATAGAAACTGAAAGTGCTGTAAAGTGTGATGGGGGTTTGTCCAGCTTCTTTCCTGTAAATTCAGGAGGAACTCAAGACTGTGTTCTTGCACCAAGTCTATCAACACTTGTGGATTAGATATCATCCCAAGTCATTGTGAAGCAACACTGTGGTCAGTGTCAAGTTCACTGACCTCTAACTTTTAACAATATTGCCATCTTATCTGAGTCTTTGGAGGCCTTTGTGGTAGCTCTTGATGCATTTAACTGAGGTGAAGTCCATGGATTTAGAGGTCTCTTGGTCTGAGATCAAAAAGTCTTTGGGGGCCTGCAAGGAGAACTTGATCATTCTGTACATGTTTGCAGTGAGGACACAGAAGTAACACAGAGGTTAGAATATCTTGGTAGTATAGTCCATGATTCTGGGCTGTCAGACCAGGAAGTCAGTAGATGGATTGGCCTGGAAGCTGGGCTTGCTCAAGAAGAGTATTTGGAGGTCCTGTGCAGAAGGACTAAGATATGCGTCTTCACAGCGTGATACTGCCAGCTTTCCTGTATAGGACCTGTTATTAGCACAACTCCTTGAGGTTGATCCCACCCAAAAGTTTGTCTCAACTAGAGATAATCCTGGATGGTCAAGGCCTGTGGGAAACCTAGGAATGATTGACTAAGAAAGTATAAGCAAAAACAAGATAGGTGGAACTCCTAGAAAAAATTATATTTGCAAAAAAGAAATATAAATCAGATTTCCTAAGGAAAAAAAAAAAATAATAAATGTGGGGTCATTAACCACAGGGAAACTTTATTAAGGTTTAAAGTAAGTTACAATATATGTGAAACACACAGAAATGTTGGTCTGATAGAGGTCACCATAGGCATATTTTCATAGAATCACTTAAGGGAGGGGGAGTTGAAACCCTTCCCGCTCCTACCAATGCATTTGAACTCATAGCTTATAGGTTTCATAAATCAACTCATATTTTTTTTCTAATGCATTAAATTTTGGGAAAAATGCATAAATCACATATTGCTGAAAATTCCCATTTTTAGCCTTTTTTTAGGGGAGACAGTCCCCTTAAGAAAAAGATAAGGAAAGAGCAAGATGATTTGCATTAGAGCTTTCCATGTCTTGAAATTTATAAAGAAACCATCATCTATTCTGAAATATTTTTATTCCATATTTCAGGTATGAGCAGATCTACAAAGCCACGAATGGTCCTTTATCAAAATCTGCCAAAATTAGTGGCAGTGTAGGAGGTAAGAGTGTTTAATTTTATGTTTGCATGTGTGTGTGAGTACACAAGTGCATCTGCATCTGCACCACAATCAATGTCAGTGTGTGCCTATTTGGACTTTGTAAAAATTGATGCAATTATTAAGGATAAAAGATTTTTTCTCAGTTTCTTGGAAAAGGAAAGGAGAAAATGGTAGGTTTCCAGCCAGAAGAATTAGCTTTTATTGAATCTATTATGAAAATAGAAACTTTTGTTTTACATTAACAATTAAGTACCATTTTCTTTACAGCTCCTCTGGTTCTAATTCAGAGGTCTAGTTTCTGCCTGGATTCTTCCATTGAGACTGACCCACCTACAGTTCCCAGACGATCAAAAGAAATCTACGGCAATTTTGTCGCCATGGCACGCAGAGGACCTCAACCTCCAGCAAATAGAGACCTCTTAATGTATAGAAAGTTTGCTAGCTTCTCATAATTAGTGTTGTTAGCCATCCATTGTGATCATCCATGCATTTGGTTCTGGACATTATCATATGTGGCACAATTACATATTTATCTTTATTTTAATACATTTAATATAGATGAAATAACATTGCAGCATGTTGCAAATTTTAGATGACCTTTTCAACTACTTTTTTATTTCAAGTTACATTATCACATGGCTATATTTTGAACCAATTTATCATAGCTCCTCTAGAATTACTTAGGATTTCATACCAAAGATTTGAAATATTGTAACAATATTAATGTAAAAATTTCCATTAGCTGTGTAACAGAGACTTGTATACCAGTTGTTAAATAAATGCTTATAAATTTGCATATTTCACTTTTACCATTATTTTGCAGATAAACTAAAAACAATAAAATAGGTTATATCCACCTTTTTTTTGGTTTATCCCTTATTTTGTATTCAGAATGTTTTATATTCATTGCATCTGCCACTTTGTTAGACTAGGTTCAAACTTTCACTCCAACCAATTATATTTGTTTTAAAGTGATATAGTAGGGATATTCTTCCATATTCAAAACAGAAAAGTAAAGAACTTTCTGTAAGACAAAAAGCATAATACACCATAGACTTCTTGAAGTCAGAATATTTATTAAACTATTTTTGGGATTTTACCATGAAACAGTGTGGTGAAAAAATAGTTTAGGTCTCAAAGGAAATCAAAATGTGTGATAAATCCAGAAATAAATAGAGGAATTTGATTTTGAAAAAAAAAACATACTTTCTTGAATTAAAGTTTTGCAGAATGCAAAACTGTCCCATTCCCGCATTCCATTCTTTTTCTCAGCTTTCTCCCATTTCTATATGGAGTCACCATTATGGATGAGCCACCTCCACTGATTTCTATCTTGTGCTTCCTCTTCTGTGATTTCTTTCAATTGCAGGTCATCCTTTACACAGTTTCACCATCTCTTTCTTGGTCTTCCCCTCTTTCTTCGACCCTGAACTTCCATCTCCAATGTATGTCTTCCAACATAGTCTTTGTCCCTTCTCAGCAGGTGTCCATACCACCTCAGTCTCCCTTCCTGCATTTTCTTTGATATTTCTAGCACCTTTGTCAACACTCTAATCCTACCCTCTCTTTTACCCTACACATCCACTTCAACATTCTCATTTCTGCTACATCCATCCTTTTCTCCTCAGTCTTTTTCATACATACTGTTTCTGTTCCATACAACATAGCTGGTCTAACAACTGTCCTATGAAACTTTCCATTCAGTCTTAGAGGTACTTTTTTGTCACAGAGGACCCCAGAGGTAGACCTCCAGTTGTTCTACCCTGCCTGCTTCACTTGTTCCCACTAGCATCTACTATGGACTCCAATTAGTTGAACTTCTGTACTCTCTTTAGCTCTTCTCCATCCATCCTTATGCTTCCCCCATCAATGCTGGTGCATATATATTCAGTTTTGGACCTGCTAATTGTCATTCCTCTTCAAGGTCTATGAATACCATATGTAGATATCTTTGCTCTTCTCTGAATTTTTCCATCACTAGCCTAAGACAAAATATTCCATCAGATGTTCCCCTTCCTTTCTTAAATCCTAGCTGTTCTTTCCCTATATCTATTTCCTCTCTTAGTCTGCCATCTATAATTCTTTCCAAGATTTTCAATGTGTGGGACATGAGTGTAATGCCTCAATAATTTGAAAAGAGGTATCAATATACTTGCCTGCCACTCGTCCGGTAGATTTTCTTGCTCTGAAATCTTCACCTGTAGATCGTATAGGATATATACTCCTTCTTCTCCCATGGCTTTCCAAACTTCCACTGGGATTACGTCAGGCCCTGTTGCCTTCCCATTCTTCATCTCCCTTAGGGGGACCGTCTTTTTTTTCGATTTTTCTCGAATTTTCTTGCCGATTTTGATAAACACACCCTTTTATTTAGACCCTTTCCCATCATTACCTGTGGTCAATTTTTTTTTTTTCTTTTCTTTTCTTTTTTTTTCTTTCTTTTTTTTTGAAATCGCCCAAACAGTTTTTGAATTATAAAAAAAAGAAAATTTTCAAAAAATAAAAATAAAAAATCTGAAAATGCAGTGAGGGGGGCCAACTCTCACGTCTTCAAAAACGATAAAACATTCAATTTTATTTGATTTTTGCACAGAACTACCCTATAGCTACAACTTATTCATTTTATTTTTCAAATTTCGACTTCCTTTTTTCAGTGAATTGTTGAAGGAGGCGACTTCACGAAAATAAAAAAGTAAAAACTTTCTTACATTTGAGACTTTTACAAGAAGCACAGGCAAACATTGGAAAAAAAAATGGAACAAGTTGTAGATATTTTATTTTTCTACAAAATAAGATATAATACGTTAATTTTAGACATAAATTGCACCTTTGAGGATCCCCCCCCTAAAGGTGGTGAACTGAGATATCGGCATTTTTCGTTTTCATCTATCCATGACTATCTTGGTATCAACAAAACAAGGTAAAAGATTAGTCTTCCTACACCAAAATCCTCTATTATCTTCCGGACATTGCCAGCACATTTCTCAAAATCTTACGTATAGTGTAGTGGTACCCCATGACCTTTTGTTTATTTATATTGTTACTTCCGTTTGTTTTTTTGTTTGCTTGTTGTTTTTTATTTGTTTGTTTTCTGATATTTCTAAAAGTTATGAACACATTTTGATGAGATTTTAACCAATGATGTGTTTTAACCTAACAGACGCTTATTGCACTTTGGTGGTGATGCGGACCATGGTTTGGATCCAGGATTATTTTCTAACTCGAAAAGTTATGAACAGATTTTAATAACTTTTTTACCTGAGGTTTGCCTTAGCCTAATTAATATTCCATAAAATTTTGGTGGGAGGGGGGAGGTTTGCATTTTCGAAATGTTTTGCTCATAGATCAAACTATGTATGATGAAAACATAAAGTAAAATACTCCATATGAACGGCATATCATGTTTATGTAAATGAAAAAAAATCTTCATTATCGTTTTTGGACGCCTACCAGATTTTTAAATTATTCCGAAAAAAAAGAAGGTTGGTCTCATCTTATGTGAAATTTAATAAGCTTTCAGAAAATAATCTAATTTTTTATCTTTAATCACTGCGTCACAATTGCCGATTTTCTAAGGTAACATGAAAAAATAATATTTCGGTTGTCGAAAATGGCTGTTACCACCTAAAAAATAAAGGCCGGGTCTTGAAATTTTCAGGGAAGAACCGGGGGCCGAGGAACTCCTTGAATATGCAAGATGGGCAAAAATTGCAGAAAAAAGACCGTACGGTCCCCTTAAAGGTTTGATAACTGCCTTTCTTTGAGCCAACGTACATTCTTTTGGAAAGCAATGGTAGTTCCTTTTGAACTTGAATATTAATATTCAAATGTTGATTTAGTGATGCGGGTACACAAACACTTATTAAAGCTTAAGCACGGCTCTTACACCTTAGGAAGTAGATAGTAGAAGGGGTTGGAGAAGGGACGGAAACAAAAAGCTGGAGGGGGAAAAAAACCATGCAAAATTAGTTGAGTCGGGAGCTGAGGCCCTAGGCAGGGGATAACCCTGTGTTGGGTCTGTCTTCGTATCCTAAGCCCCCACGACAACAATGGGCGAGGGATTGGGGGGTCAATTTCGGCAAGATGGGCGAAAATCGCCGAAAAAACATATGGTCTCCTTAATTAACCCATCCACGACGGGGCAGTCTGAGCGCGATAATCCCCCGTGCTGGCCTATATCAATATTGGCCCGCGGCAAGTCTGGGGACCCGCTCGTATGCCGCCCGCCTCGGGCGAGAAAATCAGAGCGCAAGCTCCGATCTCACGCCATTTTTATAGCCATGGGAGTTTATCGAAATTTACCCTACTGAGAAACGAAAACGATGTTTTAGCATGCTCAGAAAGCTAAAATAGAGTCTCAACACCTGTTCCTTTCTTTACTTTTTTTTAGTTTAGAGTCCAATCTTTCTAATAATACCATGTTTGTTTCTTGCAATAACATATTTGCAAAGATATGGAAAGTGAGTCAGAGATTTTTCATAAAGCAACTTTATTATAAAACAATTTATCCAGGCCTCAAAGCACATATACGTACAGAGAAAGACACTACAATCAATACAATACCGATTTCGCGCCAGTCCATGGGAGTTTATCGAAGTTTACCCTTCCGTTCGTCACACGATAATGCCATATATGTTTCTTTCAGTAACATATTAGCCAAGATATGGAAAAGAAAAATCAGAGAACACGATGTGTTAGTGCTCATAAAACTAAAATGGAGGGAGAGAGGGAAGGGGGGAGGAGGAGAGAGAGAGAGAGAGAGAGAGAGAGAGAGAGAGAGAGAGAGAGAGAGAGAGAGAGAGAGAGAGAGAGAGAGAAGAGAGAGAGAGAGAGAAAGAGAAAGAGAAAGAGAAGAGAGAGAGAGAAGAGAAAAGAGAGAGAGACAGAGAGAGAGAGAGAAGAGAGAGAGAGAGAGAGAGAGAGAGAGAGAGAGAGAGAGAGAGAGAGAGAGAGAGAGAGAGAGAGAGAGAGAGAGAGAGACTTTTTGACTTTGACAAGTTTATTGAGACAAAAGGTTACATCTCAAAAGGATGTGGTAACGTAGGTTATCCTCACCCTTATCTTGATAAGTCCCTGTGTGGGCTCACAGTTCTCATACAAAAATTAGGTGTATTACCAGATAATAACATAAAATACAAGAACAAAAATATTGAGAGTCATGGTCTATTAAAGAGAAAGTTCGTGCACACACTCACTGATGAGCTGTGAGGTACCGTAGGCGACCCGTGTGTGCAGCTGTTATTTGCAAAGGACAGGCACTCAGGTCATCCCTGGTCAGGTCACCTGTTCTTTGTTGTACATATTTTGTAAAATCCGCTGTATGAAGTCTAGACAATAATGCTATAAGACTCCACTATGCATTACCTTGCCTTTCCATTCTTCCAGCATATCATTAAGCTTTGCCAAGTTTTGTTCAATTTCCCATCGATCCAAGAGTTTTTCTTTTTCGTGATCGTTGTACTCCACACTTGCTGTTATTTTTCTTTCCTTCCCTTTAAAACCAGAAATACATGTTTGTTTCGTTTCTGTGTCTTTAGTCGGAGTTTCTTTCGATGCCTCATCCCTCTCTTTCTGTTTTTTCGTTTCTTCGCTGGGAACCTGGGCCAGTTTCCTTTCGATAGCTTCCATTCTCTGCATCAGCGTCTGGAACATCCTGGTAATTACGGATATTTCCTTAGAAAAATCCGCACCATTACTCCGCGGCACTTCCTTCACTTCCTGCACCTGTCTGTCCTGCCCGTCATCACAAGCCATTGGCGACGGCCACACCCGCGGTGGGCCCTGCACCCAGGCA